GCAGAAGAGAGCAGCAGCGTCAGACGGCCAAACTTCTCCCAGGAGGAAACTGATGTTTTGGTCCGGGAGGTCCAAGCTCGCAGTGTCCGAATATACGGAACTGCGAGCAGACCTCCACGGGCTGATGATGCAAAGGTAGCCTGGGAGGAGGTCACCACAATTGTAAATCAATGTTGCGTTTCTCTCGTGCGCGCGCGCTCTCTCTTCCTCTCTCGCAGTGTCACTCTGTTTCCTTTCTTTTGATTTTTCTAAGATGACAAATGCTGAATATATACTCCCTATCTGATGCTGTGGCTGTTTGTGGTTGGCTGAGAGGGATGTGAACTCACTAGTTTGCAGCTGTTTAATCAAATCAGGTTGGGTTTCCATTACGCGTGCCAAACGGTGCCAATCCCCTTTGATCTGACATCAGATGTGACAGGACAGTCCATATAGAGATACATTTATGTGCTGACTGCAGACAGTTGCATTGAATTGTGGTTTTGTGGGTATTTATTGCATCGTTAATGTGCCTGATATTTTGGAAACCTGCCTGTGAGGTTTTGGTGACGTGTGTGCGCTGTCCGCCGGTCAGCCAAACTTCGGCTTACACCGGCTGCGCTCCCCCCTGCGTTGACAGTAGACCTGGTTTCAGCTGGCGAGCTTTTAGCGCCCCTTCGGCGAAGCCTTTTGGCACGAAACTGTCACTGTGCCAAGCTGGATCTGTCGACACCTCCCCCTGCTGCGCCACCACACCCATCTCAGCGCACCTCGGTCTGCCAAACTACCAAACTGAGCGCGCCTCGGGTTGCGCTGCTCGAAACTAGCTCTGTGCGGGGTTCGCCACTCTGCGCTGCACTGGGAAACTAGAGCCCTTTGACTTATTTCCACCCAGCCGACAGTGGGACTTATATTCATTGTGCCGACAGTGGCTTGGAAAACCGCCCATAACCATGTCACACGGGGAAGAGGGAAGAGGGAAGGCAGCTGGAGTTCCTCCAACATTTGCGGTTAGATTATCATATATTTTTATTGACAAAAATATAGGCTGCTTCGGTTGATTTTTTTTATGCGCACACGTGCCCCTAAATATTTTTTACAGTTCGCACACACGTACTTTTAGTCGAGTGAAACGCTCGCACTGCGAGCGCTGGATCTGACAGCCTGAGCACATCGGCACAAAACGCTACGGCATTCGAGATATTATTTATATCATGAGAAGTCAATACTTTCGGCAGCCTAAATCTTTTATTTAGAAACTATGGCGGGTCAAATTAAACTATGGCGGCCCGCCAAAGTTTCGTTAATTAATGGGAAACACTGGCGGGACTGTGAGTTAATGAGGGGTGGGGCTGTGAGTTAATGAAGGGCGGGGCTGTGAGTTAATGAAGGACGGGGCTGTTGATGCTTTGTGTAACCCAATTTGACCCTATATCAATATAAACAGTGTGGAAATCCATACGTCGCCCAGCCCTACTCAGATTGGCTCTGACCAGGCTGACACTCTTCTTCTCTGAACGTGGCACCCTGGACTCCTCTACCCTAACCCTAGCCCTCGTCTTCCTGTGACATCACAACCTTTAAAACACACCTGTCATTAAACAAGACTGCAGGACTGTGTGTGTTACTCTGTGTGTTAGTGTTAGTGCTTGACTGTGTTAGTGTGTGTTACCTTGCAGAAGGTGTGTGTGCAGGGCAGCGTCACTGGCTCCATGAAGATCTCCAGACACACCGGACAACGACAGTCGTCCAGAGACAGCTCCCTCCCTTTGCTCCTCCCACCTCCTCTGTCTGACACCGGCGCCATCTCTTCTTCTTCTGTGGTTGTTAACGAATATGCAGGGGAGGAGTCAGTGAAATAAACATTTCGTCACAGTGAGCTCTAACAGCTAAGGGGTATTCCATAAAGAGGGTTTAGTAAAAACTCTGAGTGTGTTAACCCTGAGATGAGGGAAACTCTGGGTTTTCAGTTCCAGACAGAGAGGTAAGTCAAACTCTGAGTCAATCACCATGGCAACTGACTCTGTGAACCTAACCTGTTCGCTGTCAGGTTTTCTTTAAGAAACCCTGATTTCACCCTGTCTCCTCCCTACTGCTGAGCCTGAAGCAAGCTGGCAGACACACATGGGTTGTTCGTATGTAGGAAATGTGATCGATCTATCGCTCCTTCAGTGACAGACTGATTCACCCAAGGAAGGAACGCTATCGCAGGTCTTTCCTGCCTGCTGCTGTCAGGCTACATAACCAGCACTGCTCACACTAGACTACACCATGGACACTTTATTGACACTATGGACACTTTATGGACACCACAGTTGTCTGCTGTTTTGCACATACAATCACTTGCACTAGATGTGCTCCCTTTATCCACTGCTCATTTTTTGCTCATTTTCATTCACTGCTGCTCATTATTATCCACATTCTATTATTTTCATTATTATTATTATTATTATTATTATTATT